CCTGCCGTTGCTCTTCCGCCGTCGCCTGGTCTGCCCCGACGTGGCGCTGCTGCACGTCTCGCCGCCCGACGCGCACGGCTTCTGCACCCTGGGCACCTCGGTGGACTGGGCGCAGGGCGCCGCGGAACACGCCAAGGACACCGGGGAAACTGCGGGGAAACCGCTTGGGGTTGGGAAAAGCATGGGAAAAATGGTGACTTAGATGGAACATCACCATTTTTCAGAGGTAAATCAACTATTTCTATGACCATGTTCAATAGCTATTTTAAATTGCCAGAGGGTAGGGGATGGTTGGTTGTGGGTTGGGGAGGTGAACCTAGGTGAAATGCAAGGAAAAATGAGGGAAAATATCAGGAAATATGATGAAAACCATGGTGGTTTATACATATGTTTGACCGAGCAAAGCAATGAGCAAACGACGTGGCTTTTTTAGCAGCCAAAGATGGGGGTTGAAGTTACAAGACACAGCAAAACACTGGTTTCTGCCAAGGAAAATGATGCGTAAACATGTTTGTTTCTAAAGATTCTACCAACAGAGGTTCGATGGACGCAAGCAGCTCGAAATGAGCGTTTAAACTTTATACTTTCAACCATCACAAATGGAGGTCAGCACATCAAAACAATGGATTTACAACTAGCAAAACTCAGCATAACTGGTTACAATTTAAATGAGTTTGTTGTTTTGTTGGAGTGGTAACCCAATTTATGCTGAGATGGGATACCAATGGTTACCATTGGATTACCATGAGTGGTTACCAATAATTACTTCAATGATTACCAATAAATGGAGATGGGTGGTTGGATGTGTTACCCTCTGCTAAACTGGTACATAACGAACTGGAAAATCACAATGCTATCAATGGGTATATCAACTATAAATGACCATTTTCCATAGCTAACTGTTTGATTACCAGAGGGTAAACATGGGACACCCATTGACCAACAGATGGATGAAACCACGACTACAAACAGCGATTCGACCGGCCATTTGACCAAGCATTTACGCACCATGAAGCAATGCTGTTCATATAGTACTGATAGTACTAATGGTAACTATTATTTGTAGTACTATGAAATCAATAGTACATGATTACTAAAATCAATTACATCATATCAATCATTGTATATTAAAAATCATTGACCAACAATCATTTGCCAATCATTTTTCGCCATAGCCATCAGTATGTCCCCATGAAAAATCATCTCACCCTCTGGTAAACTATGGAAAACTGTTACATAACTATGGAAAATCACCATGCTATTAATGGGTAAATCCACTATTTCTATGGCCATTTTCCAGTTCGTTATGTAACAAATTACCAGAGGGCTTATAAAAATATCACATCTATATAACAGAGGCTTATATCAATCCCCCAGCCAGTGTCCCTACCCTCTGGTAATTTAACATAGCTATTGAAAATGGCCATAGACATAGTGGATTTTCCCATTAATAGCATGGTGATTTTCCATAGTTATGTTAAATTACCAGAGGGTATATCCCCAAATGTGTCAAATGTGTCCCTTGTCGTCAGGCTTTGGTGGCCCTAGTGAATCAGCAGATGCCCCGGGTCCACGGCGATGGCATCATCCACTTCTCGCAGTTCGATGCGGTGCTGCACCACGATGGGCCCTTGTGGATTCACAAGACCAAGGCACCGGGCACGGCGCCACGGCGCCACGGCGCCACGGCGCCACGGCACGGCACGCCACGTGGCGCCACGGGTGGATCTGAAAAAAGTGATGGGGGGAAGTTTTATGGAAGTTGGTCGGATCTGAATTTCGATTTTTTTAAGGTTTTAATATGGGAAATTGAAGTGGGATATCATTGTGATAAGAATTATGGAGAATGGTGTGTTTGACAACGGGGTATTCGCAAAAATGGTCAGTTTATTGCGGAAAATTATGATGGATCATGACGTGTTGATGTTATTTTGGCTGTTTTATAGACACGTCACAACGGCGTCGCTATAGATTTTTGACTAGTAGGTGGAATCAAACCCAAATTGCCTTGTTTGAGGTAGGTGAATTACTATATTTTATTTAGCCAGGACATATGTTAGAAATGGTTAGTTCAACCCATCAAAAATGATAGTGATATGAATATTCATGTTTCATATTGTCTAAATAGGTCTGCTGAAGTGGAAATTAAATACAACACAATCATATGTCTTTGTGAAGCGGGGAAACCACACTTTGATCAGCGAGAAGTAATGTTAGAAACGGTTTTGTTTTTGGAGAGAGGACTAGTACCCTCTGGTAAACTAACATAACCATGGAAAATCACCATTTGTAATGGGAAAATCAACTATAAATGGCCATTTTCAATAGCAAACCGTTAAATTATAAATTACCAGACGGTAAAAATGCTTATTGACTAGATATGTTATCGCGATGTGGTGGTACTTCACATCGACCCAGCAACCCACCGCATGTTTTCTTGGTAACCCGTTTCTTTTTGCTTACGGCGCGGGTTAGTAAACCAACAGTAATAAACCAAACAAGACTAATTATCCCAATAGTGACCCTGGTTGGTGGTTTCAAACCTTTGGATTATTTTTCCATAATATATGGGATAATCCCAACCCCATTGACTTTCATATTTTTCAGAGGGGCTGAAACCACCAACCAGATCCCAATAGTGAATAGTATGTGGCTGGTTCATATCCGAAATTTCCATACCAAAATGTTGTAGTCTAAAACCAAGATCCATACCCAATGGAATGGGTTGGCAAAGAATGGTGTGGATATAAGCAGTAATGATGGAGATACATCAATGATCATGAGGATATGTTGGGACTGTTTCAAGGATTTTGACATATGGAGACAGAAACAACATATTAATATACATTATATACATATATACATAATATGAGATATACACATACTATCTGGTTGGTGGTTTGGAACATGTTTTATTGTTCTATAATATTGAGAATAATACTCCCAACTGACGAACTCATATTTTTCAGAGGGGTAGGGCTCAACCACCAACCAGCTATTATATACATATATATATATTTATATCTCCCCAACGGAATGTGAATCAAATGACAATTCCTGCTGGGATGTCATCAACGTTGATGGGGATGTCACCCCAGCTTTTTTATTCCACTTTCAGCCAGCACGTACCACCGCAAAAATGTGTTCAACACACAATTACTCTCTGGTAATTTAATTTAAGATAGGCATGCGAAATGTGTATTTTAATAAATGTATATAAATCAATTGTAAATGATGAATGATATATAAATGACCCATTTTTCATAGCTATGTGAAAGAACCAGTGTAACATGTCCTACATTTTGCATCCTTACTTCCTAATATCAACCCCGGGATTAACAACCTGCTGGGCTGTTTCCGGGGGTTACCATTTGTGTCGTAAATGATGTTTTCTTAGGCCCCAAGTCTTCAATCACCAGGATGTGCGGTGATCCGCGGTTCACATATTGTTTAAACAAACAATCAATTCACAGTGGCTCTGAAAAACCTACCCTCTGGTAAACTGTTACATAACTATGGCAACTTTGGAACATCACCATTTTTCATAGGTAAGTCAACTATTTCTATGGAAAATCACAATTTTTCATACACCATTTTTCATAGGTAAATCAACTATTTCTATGACCATGTTCAATTTCGCAAACCGCAAACGTCATTCCCAGGCCGGGTATTTTTTTCGTCGTGATTTTGTGGATCACCGATTGATCCATCTGCCACTGGCTGTGGGGCCCCCGTTGGATAGCTAAGTTGGTTTATAAACCCCGTTAACTATGGTTATATAAGTACCATATTAACTATGGTTTATGGTTTATGAGTACCATATTAACTTAATTAAGTTGGTTTATAAGTTGGTTATATATAAGTACCATAAACCATAGTTATTGAAGTTATAAACATTAAACCAACTTATAACTGGGGGGCCCCACGTAACGCAGGAGTTGACGCCTGAAGAAATTCGCATCGGTCAACACATTGCCGAGCTGGTTCCTGATGGTGCCACCCTGCAGCCATGCGAAAAAAACCGTGGAGGGATGGGACACGATGAGGGGCCTGGAGTAAGCTGTGGTGAAGCCACCAACATGGTGGGTTTCACCATGAAAAATGGTGGTTTAATGGTGGTTTAATGGGAAAACCATAGGAAAATGGAGGTTTACCCTCTGATAATGGTGGTTTAATGATTAATGGGTTAAAAAAACAAAGAAAAATGGTGATTTCTAGATGGGATATACCCGGCCTGGTTATGACTCTTACAGTTTGCATTGGTTAAGCAATGGCCCTAATCGAAATAGATGGTGTACCGAACTTAATAGCATGGTGGATCTTTCCATGGCTATGTAACAAATAACCAGATGGTATTCATTATTATTTGTGTGTTGATATCTTATACCATCTTATACTTAGAATTTCAGAACATGAGAGTTATGGTGGAAACGTAATATCCTTCCAAAACTGTCTTCTAGGTCTATGTAGAGACAAATATGTATATAAGTGCATGCGTTTGTACATATATTATGCATATATAAATATGGAATCATTCAGTTTGCTGCATTTCACAATATGCTTTCTTACCTGCGATGGATTCGCTATGAATGCACACCAAATAGTTTTGTTTGTTTATTTTTATTTTATCAACATCGCAGTATTCCCATTTTTACATTCGAGTACCCCCTGAAAGATGAAAAGTTGAATCCCAACAAATTATTTGAACTTGCTTCTCGATTTTCTTGGATTGCCAATACACATATCTTTTTTCGTTTCTCGCCAGGTTGTATTTTTCAGTGGCCTGGATAGCCCAATCCGGGTATCTTAGGTCATCACAAATCAGCATCACAAAAATACAAGAAACTATCACAACTAAATCATCATCAAGTACCTTAATAGTTTATTACCTTGCCCCTATACCCACAGAATTGATGTTAGGAAAAAAAACATGTTGCAAGGTTTAAAGTCTTTTTTGAGTACGAGTTGCTTTATAAACCCATCCACCTGTAGATGTATTCACCAGTTCCACTGTAAATCCAACACCTAGCCTAGCTCTAAACCAACTTACTTATCATTTGCAGGCCCATTCCAGTACTAAAACTCATCATGCATGACCAGTTTGTTTGGTTACCGCTTGACGTACAAATCCCAACATGTTTCGAGAAAGAAACACATACCCTCTGGTAATTGAACATAGCTCTGGAAAATCACCATTTTTTATAGGTAAGTCAACTATAAATGGCCATGTTCAATAGCTATGTAACAGTCATTACCAGAGGGTACATCAGTATATCCCATCTAGAAATCACCATTTTTCTTGGTTTTGTTATCCCATTAAAGCACCATTAAACCACCATTATCAGAGGGTAAACCTCCATTTTCTTATGGTTTTCCCATTAAACCACCATTAAACCACCATTTTTCATGGTTCCAAAAACCCATCATTTTCTGATATCTCAAGTTATGGAGGTGAACTCACCATGGCAGAAATCCATACAGAAATCCCAGGCAGATGGGGATTGGCTCAGTCCCCGATGCTGCACTTAGTCAGCTGACCAACCATAAGAACCTGGGCATTCACACCGAGATGTTTAGCGCTTCTTGGTTAAAAACTTGGGATTTTACCAACAAAAATGGGAAAGTTATGGGTATATAACCCACTACAAAATGGTGGTTTAATGGGATAAAAAAACCAAGAAAAATGGTGATTTCTAGATGGGATTTACCCGGCCTGGTTATGACTGTTACAGTTCGCTATGGTTAAGCAATGGCCCTAATCGAAATAGATGGTTTACCGAACTTAATAGCATGGTGGATCTTTCCATGGCTATGTAACAAATAACTAGAGGGTAACCAAGAAAACAGGTGAAACTTGGGAGTTTTTATGGCTAGGGCTTTACATGGGGGATATTTCATGGAAGTTACTTTTTTGATGTGTGAAATTCTGTGTCTGAAAAAGGGATCGATTTCACCATTTCAGAAGCAATTCAAATATGGAAGATGACGGTAAACCACTAGATTTGGAACATCCTATAGGATTGACCCAAATACTAGGGATTTATCGATTTTTCCAGCAAGAATTTGCATTGAACAATTTATCCATGAGATAAAATGTGGATTTCACCAAAACTCCAGCCAAGATATTGACCACGACGGGTGGAGGTTGAGGTGGAAAACATTGCGAGCAGCACAAGAAACGGCTGCCCGATAAATGATGCTTGGGACGCTGCAATTTTTTTTGCAACCACAATGGCATGATGATCAATGTAATTGTGAATTATTCCTATAGTTCAGACCATGAACACTTCTGACTTTTATGGTTCAGAAAGCATTAACTGAGTGATGCTTAGGTTTGTGAAACATGATTGATAATGGGATGATTGACGCCGTTAATCATGTTCAATCTATAGCCGTAATTTTCCCATCGGTGCGTTGATGTTTACAAAGAGGGGAAAATCCTGGAAAAAAAAAAAGCACCGGTTGTTGTGATGATACAGCTAGTAACAACCAATAGTCAAATCATGACACATGGCTAAGTAGTGATGAATGGCTAAGTGATGACAAATGATCATAAATGACAATGGTATATATAGACATAAAGAGTACAATTAATAGTACTGATAAATGATATGTATATATATATATTGCCCATTTATCAGTACTATATGTATCATGATATATCATGATATACACATCATCATTATACATATATATATATTTATAAATACATATCAGTGCTACAAATCAATTATCCAAGTCAACCCATCAACCCATCAATTTTTCCCGGACATCAGGGCTGCTCCGGGAATACTAAACCAATACATAACCACAAGGGAAGAGAAAAAAAAAACAACATCAGAAATGTGTTATTTCTAAATTTGAGTTGTTCTTGCTAAATGTTCCTGTGTTCCTCGTTGATATTGAAGCATTTTGTTACGCTAAAAATCGATCGCAGAAGTTTTTCGCAACGCCAGGATGGAGTGCTTCCCCTCATTGAATCTGGAGCTGCTGGGCTTGTCCAACAGGATTACCCTCTGGTAAAGAAACAGTTGGACCCTGAAAATAGCCAATTTTTAATGGAAACTAATCTTCCAACCCCTATCTACCAGGGTCTATGTTAATTTACTGGAGGGTAATAGCCATTAATAGCCATTAATAGCCATCGATTACCCAACCCATAGGGGTTACTAACCGTTAAAAATAGGGGTCAATAGCCATTAATAACCATTCACCATCAATTAACCCCTATTTTTCTCATCAAAATCATAGTTTCATGTTTGGTTTTGTTGTGTTTTTGACCACTTGAAAACGTATTTGTCAGAAACATCCTCTATGCTTGGGCGATGTTCAATTAAGGGGGGATGGTTTGTAATTCATATGATAACAACACCAATAGCAATGATATTATATATATACATATTATGGGTGCGTTTGAAAACAAGGTACCCCAACATTCAAGGGTTGTGCATCATTGTCCCCAAAGGCATGCGGCATTTTACGGGTCAATCTCCCATTTTCGGGCCCAAGTTTTTTTTAAATGTCTTCGGATGTTTTGGGTCATATACCCTCTGGCAAACTAACATGGATATGGAAAATCACAATCTTTATTAGGTAAAGCACCTTTTTCTATGGGCCATTTTCAAGTTCGCAAACCGTTAGTCATTACCAGCAGAGGGTATCCCATAGATCACCATTGTCGCAGAACTTGCTGGTAGATCCTGAGATCGATTTCCGGGTCGAGGGTTGTGTCCTTCAGGTCATGAAAGTTTCCGATGCTTTCCGAACATAGGGGGGTACCCCAATAGCTGGATTGAAAAAACATGGAACATCCTATTTTTCTGGTGATTTATAGATGATTTTTGCGGTATCCCCATTTTAGGAAACCTTAATTTTCTCCTCCAAATCCTCCAATCTTCCAATCGGCTTCGCCTCTGATCCTGATGGATCCCCAGCTTAATCATAGCTATGGAAAATCACCATGCTATTCATGGGTAAATCCACGAACTTTCAATGGCCATTTTCAAGTTCGCTAACCGTTAGTTTACCAGAGGCTAATCCCAGTGATTTCCGTGATTTCCGGAGGATTTTCCCATGTTCCCATGCTTTTCCCATGGTTTTTCAGGCCTAGAATCTGTGGAACGAACTGTGGGCGCTCAGGTGATCAACAACAGCTGCAAGTCCACCTATCGTGGCCGTACCATCAGTGCCTTCATCAGCGGCACCTCAGATGAAGATGAACACGAAAGTATGTATATCAGTGGAATATAGGTACGGGGTATTTATTTATTTTTTACATGTATATATGTATATATATATATACATATTTATTTTATTTATTTATTTACTTATTTACTTATTTATTGATATTGATTTATTTGTTTATTTATTTATTTTTTTATTTTATTGATATTGATTTATTAATACATATCCATGTATTCTATAGATAATAAGAAATATGAGTATAGGATACTTTGCATGGGCTACATATATATATATATTATAACACAACTATAGTTATTGTAGGCATTTCACAAAATAGTACCATTATATATATATATATATATTCCAGATATATAGAAAGTGGGACCCCAAAACGTTATAAGTTGGATATTTATATCCTCATCTAACTCTGGATAGATTTCCCAAAAGCCATATTAATGAACTTACAAACCATGTTAGCTATCTTGGGCACATTGTACCCTCTGGTAAACTAACATAGCTATGGAAAATTACCATTTATAATAGGTAGATCAACTATAAATGGGCCAATTTCCATAGCTATGTTAAATTACCAGAGGGTAACTATGAAGATACAAGGTACATGATAAAATGACGTAGCATGAGATACTTTAGCGTTGATCTTGGACGTGCATCCTAGATCTGTGTGGTCAGTAACCTAGATACCGGACCGGTTGTACAAGGTGGGGCCTCCCAGTCACAAGATGGTTTCGAACACCCTGTAACTATAGTTATTATATCCTCCAGAAACAATAGTCAAGCAAGTTCCAAGTCAATTTTGCTATCATAAATCATCTTTAAATCCCATTGGTCATCCCCATTTTGTTTGTTAAATCATCATTTTCCTATGGTTTCCAGGCCTCAGCTTCTAGTGCAGTGACTGGACTCAGTCGGCAGGTAGCCAGAAGCTTTATGACTTCGTGAATGACAACTTGAGTGTGAACTTGACGCTTGGTAGTTGCACCCCCTAGAAAAAACAAAAAAAAACATGGAAGATTGAAACATATTTTACATGTTAAAAAAAAAAAAAACACACATTTTTAGTGTGTCAACTGTTAAATGGTAGGTTTCCCATTGAAAGAAAAACCAGTGTTTGAGTTCCATATAGGGTGTGTAGAGAAGTTAGTTGGTGGTTCCGTGAGGGTTCAATCCCTGTACTGTTGGGCCCCCTGTGAAATGTTAGTTGGTTTAGTTTCACCCATCTAATCAGGTATAAGATGTTATAATATATATTTATATATATACATTCTACATATAATCTATAATCTATAATCTATAATATATAATATATAATATATAATATATAATATTTCTATATATAATAATATATATATATGTTATAAGATATTCGAAGTAGCATGAAGGTCCAAAATCCAACGTGATCCATCCATTAGTTCAACAGAAACCCTGGTTTTCTCACCCCGCAGAGGGATCACCTCTGGGACCTGACAGGAAAGATGTGGCATATACCAACAATGTGGAGGTCATTGCATCACAACAATCCATGATAGGCGCAATATGTGGGCAATCCATGATACTGGTTGGTGGTTGAGCCCTACCCCTCTGAAAAATATGAGTTCGTCAGTTGGGATTACTATTCCCAATATATCTGGGTAAATTATCATATTTCACTAACCTGAATGGTGTGGCCATGAAAGGGGATGATTTCCCACATCTAAACCATGATTTCCAGTGAGGGAGAACAGTGAGGTCGTTATAATTTACCCAGATGATAGGTTTTTTTGTTGGGCAATTCTGCTGATGTTTTTTTTCCGGTGAAAGTGGCTGATTTTTGTATCTCATTGCCGAAAAATAGCAAGTGGAAGAGCGCATTGGTATCAAATTTCGAATACTTTATTTGTTGGTATCACATTTTTGCATCTTATTAGTGCATGTTATATGCAACCCATCAGCAAATATGGTAGTTTTTTCTAGCAGCCTTAGCACGAGTGTCATTCCAAGAAACGTAGCGTTGGATGCCATCCCCAGGTATTTTTGATTACAAAAAGCTGATTATTCAACCCTAATGATTGAACTAAGATGATTAAACTAAGATGAGTGCTAAGATGATTAAACTTTTGATTTCATCATGAACCAGTCCTTTCTAAGCTGATTAAACTTCAATTCTGTTTTGTCCGACTTTTATTCTTCCAGTATGGACCACAAGAATGGCTGATTTCTGGCTGCGGCAAACCTTTGTTTTCAGGCAATCATTCTAGTTGCTTATGTCATCTGCCATGTTTTCTGTGTGTCCAATGCCCTATTTTTGTGAATATGGTGATGTCCAAAGCCCTCTAATCATTTTTAAGAAGTTGTTAAGTGGACAGTTGATAAGAAAACGTTGGACAATCATTGTTTTTAAAGTGGTACCCAATTATCATGATAGTGATTGATGTTTGATAGTGATTTGTGATAGCTAACTTGGATTATAGCCAGTTAAACTTTGGCTTTGTACAATTATGGCCTTTCCAAGTTATAAGATATTACTCTTATAAATCACTAATTCACCCCATAAGAATGGAATGATAAGACCAGTTATAACCGTTGAAATCACTGGGAAAGGACTTTAATCGAATAATTATAAGTCATGGAATGATAACTAAAACCATTTATTCACTAATTATGATTATAAATCGAATAATTACCCATAGATTATAAATAATTAATGATTTAAAACCATTTATAATCTAATTTCACCTATGTGTATAGTCTAATGAATGTTTTTTTCCTAATATCACCAGCATAAAGACCCTAATCTACATGAAGATAACCCCTATAATCTAACGTGATGACCACACCCCAAGAACTGGTACTAGTAGTTGCCATTGATAAATAAATTGTTTGATATGCAACAGCAGATTTCTTCAATAACTATCTATTGCCCTATAGTTGGATCTACTGTTTTATCAGATCCATTTGTTGATTGAAAAAATAGCTGCCATGAAGAGATCCATTGGATTTGACAGCAAGGCATCTAATGAAGTGTTTTGTTTACTTAATAACACCAGAACAAAAAGCCTAGAGATATCACCTAATCTGCATAGAGATAACCCCTATAATGGCTATAATCAGGGTAACTAGTATACACAGGCAAGTAATTATAGTTAATTAGACATAGTTAAACACCATTTACCATAGTTAATTAGACATATACCACCAATCAGATAGTCGAACAGTTGCATCAACCATATAATGGAACTGATAAATCCATGGTAACTGATAATCGAACCACTTACCACCAATCAGATAATAGTTAATTAACCATAAAAACCATAGTTAACACATGTTAACACCATAAAAACCATAGTTAAACACCATTAACCACAGATTTCTTCATTTTCCAGGCATCAACAGTTGCATCGAGATGGATCTCACAGGGCAAGCTGCCAGCTCGACCATTGGGGCCCGTGCCATGGCGCCACGCCTTTTTGGGCAAAACACGGAGAAAAACATGGGGAAAATCATGGAAAACGATGGGAATATTATATGGATGTGGGTCAAAATGGAAGACCGATGTGGGACCACAGATGTGAATGTCTAGTTTAGTATTAACCATCCATAATTTTGGGGTACCTAATTTTGACCCATACCCATATATATATATACATACAATGTGGGGCCCCCCTGGTATAAGTTGGTTTATAAACCCCATGAATACTATAGTTATAAGTATGATAAACCATAGTTATTGGAGTTATAAACCAACTTAGCTATCTTGGGAGCCCCACATTGTAGGAAAATGTGTATAGGAAAATCATACACAAATATGAGAAAATATAGGAACATCACCCTAAAAAAAGGAGGTTTCAATAGGAAAATATCAATGGACCATGGGTAATGAAACATTGCAACAAATAGAAAATCCACGGGGAAAATCATGGGAACATGTAGGAAAACTATGGATCATTTGTCATGGATATGAACAATCACTATTTAAATGTCCAATCCTTAATCAAAAATCTCCCATGTTGAAGAACCCCTCACAATTGTTGATTTGAACATCCAACGGAATTGGCCCTGGATGCAGACCCAACTTAGATTAGCTCCGGTGTGGTGTTAAAACATATTAATGGCTTTTCAAAAACAATAAGCTCAATGCTAAGTGGGTGAATTTCTGATCTATATGAAACTTGAAGTTTCTAAATTGATTCTCAATTTTTCTATGTTAAATGGAACAATTTCCAGTTCATGGTTGAAGGATTGAAATTCTCAGATTTGAATGGGAAAAATTGTTCAACTAGCCAGGGGTTGGTAACTGTCCCATTTTGGGAATATTGGACATCACCTAAAAAAGTAGCCATGGCATTGACCATATACCGATCATGGTTGGGTGATGTGAAAAATGGGGACATCAGTCATGACCCATGCTAGCCTTTTTGCATCATTCCACATCAATTTGTGTCTGGCCCGAGGTATCTATTCGGGTTTCGGGGGACAGGCGCGGGATGCTCGCAGCGAGTGGAAAATTGTCTCCTCAACCATCTCATGTTGGAGATATAATGGTTTATATATATGTATATATATATATCCAAAAATCCATTATATATATGGTGGTTTAATGGATTGTTGGATTTATATCCTATAATATATGGGATTTAATGGGATTTTATGGTGGTTTAATGGGATTTTTAATGGTGGTTTAGTGGGATCTAATGGGATTTAATAGGATTTACCCGGCCTGGTTATTTGTTACATAGCCATGGAAAGATCCACCCATTTTTAATAGGTAAACCCAGGTAAACCATCTATTTCTATGGGCCATCTATACCATGGCGAAGTGTTAAATAACCAGAGGGTAAATGGATTTAATGGATTTAAATGGATTTTTAGAGAATCATTAATGGATTAGCTGAAAAAGAAATCCATTATGGGTATGGGTCTAAAATTGGATAATGTTCATATTCTTTTAATTTTTCCTCAACCACCCAATCCTCAAGCATTTTGGTCAAATTTTGTACTTGGCATAGGTATATCTGATTTTGACCAATAGCCATAATGGATACGGATCTGCGATCTGGAACTTTGGAACATATTGGAACTACTGCAACCTACCGTAACAACATGAACATGGACTTGGGACAATGATGGATACTTCAGTGCCTTGTGGATGTCCAATTTATGTGGATATGGTTCATGAGATTTACTGACCAGCTAGACTCCAGCTCGATATTTGCTGCAAATTCTTGCAGGTTGTCTAAGATTGGCCCAGCCGCCGAAAAAACACGCCCTGGGTCCTGGGTCAGCCTTGAAAAATCATGGTTGATTTACAGGAAACATGAGTTGATTTATTGATTTTTTGCCCAATAATGGGATTATACATTCCATAAATGGGATTACAAGTACTTGTAGCGAGCAACCTCGGACTTTGTTGATTATATAAAGATATATACATATATAAATGAATACTTATTATCTATTGTATCCTCATGATTTCCCCATCTAACTACCCCAGCTACAGTTTGTTCCGAGTTTGTCACAGTCCATCCCGATTTTATCACCATAAATAATATTTAAGTAAACCATATATATATATTATTAGTTCCCAAGTGGAATTTCCCAGTTTTACTTGCTACTTAGTCCTGCTACATTATGTTGGCTTTGGATTTTTCCAGTTATATTATTTTCATTATTTCAACAATTCCATATTTCCCAGTGATATTGATATTTCAAGTTTTGGGTGGCCAATGATATATCAATATGTCCCAAATGATATATATGTTAATGATATATTGTCCAATGACATTTCCATTCCAATGATATTTATATTGGCTGGCCAATGATATACTGTTCCATATAATTCATTGGTATCTCTCATTTAATATGATGATAACAGAATATGTTTACCAATATAACAGAATTATGTAAGACATTATATAAGACATTAACCATGAATGACAGAATTATATATCACAATATTTACCAGAATGTTATGTATTTAATTATATATCACAATATTAGCCAGAATATTATAAATTTAAGTACTTGTTATAGGTATATCATCAAAAAGCATCTATAAATGGGCCATGGCTTCCATGGCTATGTTAAATGACCATAGGGTATTTGTTATATATTAATATTACTGGTTGGTGGTTTCAAACATTTGGATTATGTTCCATAATATATGGGATGTCATCCTTGCCATTGACGAACTCATATTTTTCAAGATGGTTATTGCACCACCAATCAGATAATCTAACTTAATGGCTATAATCTAAGATTGATAATCCCTATAATCCCTATAGTTCACGGTGGAATGCCGTATATGATACCCTCTGGTAAACTAACATAGCTATTGAACATGTCCATTTATAGTGGATTTTCCCATTCAAAATGGTGATTTTCCATAGTTACGTTAGTTTACCAGAGTGTAAATCCTATTAAATCCCATTAGATCCCATTAAACCACCATAAAATCCTATTAAACCATCAGAGGGTACAATATTCCCATTAGTTTCATGGGCCCGCGGACATGGCGGTGAAATGGCGGAATGCCGCAGGTGGACTTCCTCACGGGTGCTTCGGCCTGTGCGTTCCTTGGAGGCGGCGTTGGGCTGCGGCAGATTTGTTTGAAACCATATAGTGGTCATAACAAAATAACAATATTGTAATATCTACAGGATGGGGCCCCCAAGAAAGCTAAGTTGCCTTATAAGTGGCTTTATGGTAGATATAACTATAGTTAATAGGGGTTATAATGGTTTATAAACCCACTTGTAACTGGAGGGCCCCATCCTGTATGGTATTATGGTATTATTTAAATATATGGTATTACAATATGGTACATATTATGGTACATGTTATATATAATATTTAAAATAAGATGGTATTATGGTATAGTAATAACTTTTATGATGTTATGAGATATGGTATAATAATATCTATTGACATTTCAAAAATCATAAGGTGATCCCATAATATGTTTTAATATCCCATAGTTTATGGACAATATGTGTTAGCCTCTGGTAATTTAACGGCTAGCTATTGAAAATGGCACATTTATAGTTGATTTATGGTGATTTACCTGTTAAGAGAGTGATTGTCCATAGCAAACTGTTAGTTTGCCAAAGGGTATGATCATATATTTTCAGTACTCATCCAACAACTGTGACTTTAATCATAGCAACATATAGTAACATCTGGATATAGTAAATCCAGATTAAATATAGTTAATACCAATCTATAGTAAATCCAGTCTATAATCCAGATTAAGACTTAATCCAGATGGAAATATAAGCTGATGGAAAATAGATTAATATGATAATATAGCCAGTCTTAATCTATTTTCCATCAGCTTATTGAATACCGTAGATAAACAATGGTACTTCAATCTACGTTGATTCAGCTTTCTGTCCACTTCCCATTCTACCAAATCCCATCCCCGGTTCATATTAAGCACCGCCAGGAAACGATGCTCTAGTACGGGATTTACACATGTTTGGGACCTTTTACTGAGGTGTTTAAAAAAATCAATGGATTGGTTTTAAGGGAAAATCTACAGTTAGCATCAAAAATATAGGGGTTTCCTGTAAATTTTCCCATCATCCAATTCGATGAATATACATGGGGGATGGGATTGTGTTTTTTCCCTGGGTAAGAGCAGGGAGTATGTGTTGTAATGGTTCATTATAACAGTTTATTTGCTGAAGGTTATTGTTCATTCAGATTTAATCTAATTCAATATAATGAACCATCCCCAATTTCACCATTTTTATAGGTGGTATGGTTACCATTCCCAGTCATGGGTGGTAAAAAAGTCATTGTTTTACCCACATTATATATATATATATAAATCCCATTAAAAAATCACCGTTCTTGTTGGTTAAATCCATTGAACCACCATTTTTCATAGTTGAATCCCATGGAAAATCACCTGGGCCTTTTTTTTTCCGTTTTCCCCACATTTCGCCACGGTGTCTGAGGAATGGCAAGGGCATCTTGGCCTTCCCCTCGCGGACGCACAAAGGCGTGCCGCGCATCGTTCCGCATCTGAAAGAGGCCGCAGGTGTCGTCACCACAAGGCGCAGGAAGCCAGGTGTCGCCATGCAGGCGGTACCCTCTGGTAATGGTGGTTTAATGGTGGTTTAATGGGATAAAAAACGAACAAAAATGTTGATTTTAATGGGATGTAGCCTCTGGTTATGACTAACATAGCTATTGAAAATGACCATTTATAGTGGATTTTCCCATTGAACATGGTGATTTTCTATAGTTATGTTAGTTTATCGGAGGGTATGTTTGAACAATGGAGAGCCAATGGTCGAACATAGCGATATTTTATGATATTTTTACATTTAGAATATGGTATATAATTTTATGGTAAATTATGAATTATACCAATCGTTTCTGGTTCATTAACCAATCAATGTTCTTTATATGTTATAATGGTAGTTACAATGGTTACTGTATAAGGTACATTCACCAGCAGATGTTATAACCATTCAATGTTGGTTATAGTTGTAATGGTTAATTCATGGTCAATGACCGGTTGGTCATGGGGTATAACCAACAATAGTGGATGATTAATGGATAGTTGATGGATCATTGGAATAGCAAGGAAGCCCTGAATGCCATGAGCAACTACCATTACTGGGTATGGTATTTTGACCAACCCATAAAATTGGTGATGTTGGGAATGGTTTATGGCATTGGGTTTACCATATGACATCATGGGCAAGTAGCAATAGAATATAATATGGCCAGTAACATGATTTTTGAATCAAATGATACAGGCTGATACAGCTTAATTGTGGGTTTTTCTTTCTATCCTGTCTAGTTTTGCCCCATTTTGCACCAACAAAAAAAACAAAAACGTGATGGCCAAAGGTCAGCCCGTAGCCGCTGTAGCCAGCGTAAGCAACAGTACGTAGGGATTGGTCCTGGGTAGCGTGGGATGTTGGGAGCAACCCTGAAACATTCGCTCAGATCCTTGGTTGATGGTTACCCTCTGGTAAACGTTTACAGAACTATGGAAAACCACCATTTTTCATGGGTAAATCCACTATAAATGGTCATTTTCAATAGCTATGTTAAATTACCAGAGGGTATAGTTTGCTATACACCCAGCTGTCAGATATCGTGATTTGTAGCAAGAGATATCACGCTGTCAGGAGGTCCAAAACGACGGTTTTGGTGGTTGCCACTTTCCAGTTTTGGCTCTACATAGTGAGTTTTGTGCTTCAAGGACCATGATTACTTAGCCTGCCAATTGAGGTAATCCCATTTATACCTGAATCATCTGAATATGCAGCCCAGTTGGGACGTGGTTCACAAGAAATGGTTATATATATCCCCTTATCTAAGTCAGTGATACTCGTTATGTAACTGGGGAGCTTTGGAACATTCTAACGGAAGCCTTCCTATGGCAACAGCCATAGCTGGTTGGTGGTGACTGGAATATTATATATATATAGATATATATATATATGGTTAATATATGGAATTTTGAATGACTTTCCATTCAGTTGGGAATTTCATATTCCCAACTGACGCAGGCTGGACAAATCCACCATAGACGATTTTCCCATTACCAGTCCAAACCTCTTATTTATAGTTATTTATAGGGCATTTATAGTTATTTATAGGGCATTTATAGTTATTTATAGGGCATTTATAGTTATTTATAGGGCATTTATAGTTATTTATAGGGCATTTATAGTTATTTACAGGGCATTTATAGTTATTTATAGTGCATTTATAGGGTATTTATAGGGCATTTAATGATTTCTATAGACAGTTCTCCCAAATAGAACCTCTATTGATAGTTATTTATAGGGCATTTCCCAGCTTGCCATGTAAGCAAAACCGGAGGGTAAACCCAAAAACTGCTAGCACCCCAGGGCCCAGATTCAATACGTCGTCACTGAGAATGGTTCGGCCAACTTGTTCGGCTACTGGACAGCGTTGGACGCATTTTGGGATTATCTGAATCATCTTACTGGTGCTTAACAGGGAATGAGGGAATGATCCACTGGCTAACTATCAATTTCATCATCCCAGCAACCCCCAGCAACCCATCCATTCCCTACGTTTAGCACCAGTAAGTCATAGTCTGAAACATACATAATACTTTGGCATATCATTGAATCATAGTTATAATATAAGTAGTTACAATGATATATCAGGGTGTAACATGGTTTAACACCTGGCAAAACTTGTAATCACAGATGTGAGACATTGATTGATGTTCTAATTATATATGTATATATACATGCAATAATTGCTAAATATTGCTAACTATACATACGATGAAGCACCATGGCTTTAAGATTGAAACCTACAAGAAGTGGTCAAGACTGCCATCATTTAAGATAGCTCATTGTGAACAGCTCGTATCCATGACAAGCTTGTCTTCGAATCTAAAGATTGCACTCCTACAACAAAGGACAACCATGGGGCATCATTGGGATTACCCTTGACTGTTTAGCTGGATGTCGTTTGCTGCCTTGGGACAGTGAATAAGTAACATCAACCGTGCAAAGTGGTACTACCTATATGATATAGTATATGCATTAACTAGTTATGGTGATGAGAACCGTGGTAAAGCTACAATTTAGTTATAAAAACAGTAACCGTTATTAATATAACGGTATACCGTAGATGTAGTTATAGCCATTATACGTCGGTATGATATCGTGTCTTGTTTCACCCATCTAACAAACGCCACTTTATACCAGTGAGTTAGTAAAAAAAATCACCATGAAAACATCGCCTAGTTTTCACGTACTCACAGTTAATTAATCATAGTTAAACAGTTAAACACCATTTACCATATTTAATCATGTATACCCATTATAATAACTATAACTATGGTAAACATTATTACTATGTTATAAACCTTTACTACTATGTTTTTTACCATTATAAACTATAGTTATACCCATAGGTAATAAGGGTAAACACCACAAAAACCATAGTTACAAAGCAACTTCGGAGGTGCCATGATGGCCAGATAGTGAGTGAAAACCATAGGGCCGGGGTTGATGTAACCAGCTGGTTATACCATCACAGGTTACATTCCATAGTTATGTCCTATATTTCCCATATTACCAGTAGTTGCCCTCTGGTAAATTAACTTGTTGACCCTGAGAATCAGCAATTTTTAATGGAAACTAATCTTCAAACCCCTATCTGGCAGGGTCTATGTTAATTTACTGGAGAGTATATCATTTATACCCACAAGAAAATGACTATCACCCTCGGCCTGCACTTTTGGCTTCCAACGACTGGTCAACTGTCCTTAAGGCAAGACTCTGCCGGAGAGAGCACGCTTGTTGATTGATTTAGCCCACCCCGATGATCCTTGGTTTCGCTCTACGTTGGTAGATCCACCATCTCCAACTTGACCATGTTTATACCATTTATATTATAATATATGTTAAATGGATTGTATGAACCATCAATTCATATGTATATATGATATCCATACATGAATGGTGTATATATATATATATGAATGGGATAGAATGGGATATATATATATATATACATATATAGTGAGTTTTCCCATGAATGGCATGGTGATTTTTCCATAGTTTTTTGTATGTTTACCAGAGGGTATTCTATACTGGTTGGTGGTTTGGAACATGAATGGATTATTGTTCCATTAATATTAGGAATTTCATGATCCCAACTGACGAAGTCCATCATTTTTCAGAGGGGTAGGGCTCAACCACTAACCAGATATATATTTTAAGTGGGTTGTATAAACCATCAATTCATATGGCTGGTTTTTGGCACTGCTTTACAGACATGTGATATCATTTCATTGGAGATTTTCTTAAATTGGGATACCCCTAAATCATTCATTTTAGTAGGATTTGCCATGGTACCCTCTGGTAAACATACAAAAAGCTATTGAAAATGGCCATTTATAGTGGATTTTCCCATTAAACATGGTGATTTTCCATAGTTATGTTAGTTCACCAGAGGGTAAACCATTGATTTTTATGGGGGGTGCCCATGGGTGCCCCCTTTCCAAACCCAAAAAACAAACCCGTCCCAGGACCGGGAAGACTTGGAAAGACACGCCAAAGACCGCTTCAAGAAAGCCTTCCAATGAGTTCCCGGCGTTGCAGGTGACGGTAGCAATAGCAATGGTGCAGGTGTACGTTGGGGCAATGATAGGTGGTACTACCCTCTGGTTATTTAACATAGCCATGGTATAGATGGCCCATTTATAGATGGTTTACCTATTAAAAATTGTGATTTTCCATGGCTATGTTAAATAACCAGATGGTAATGACAGGCGGCACAAAGTTATTTAATGTGTTTGAAGATTTGGAATCCAATAAATCGCAGTGACCACTTGTTGATTATTATTCACTTCAACTGAAAAAGATGTGGACTTGATCCATTTTCATCCATCCATACCAAGGGTCCCAACAGAAACATCATTTATCATCATGTTGTCAACGGATAAGATGACTTGTTTTGGGCATATCCCCTTACATATCCTTTACATAGTCATTACGTAGCCCTTACATAGACCTTACAAACCTTACAAACACACACACACACATACATACATACATACATACAATCATATACATATCGAAAAACATGTGTGTGTGTGTATATGTATGTATATAAATATAATGGTCATTTATAGAACTTATATACATTATTATACATTTATACACGCAGTTTTAGGTGCCTGAAACAATTCTTGATCTTCCACAAATGCCAGGGCACTCGCATCCTCGCCTTGCTGGCTGGGTTTAGATGGGGAAGAAATGGCGAGAGGCCCAGATTGATGTTAGTATAATATTAGTGAATATATACATACCTGTAATCAGGAATAAACGGAGATATTGATTATATGAGTCATTTCGACATTAAAGATCAAACATATTGCTGGATATCAATGGGTAAAGATGACGGTCCATAAAGTGCAAGTAGTCCATCTTATATCTAGAAAGAACAAATTCACGCAGGATATTGTTAGCCATGGTGTACAACTGAAAGACCATTTGCTTCGAGAGTTTGGGGCGTTGCGTCTCGTTTTTGTCGAATACGGTGTCGGCGACTGGTAAATACCTTCCTGGCATCGAAGATGTTTGGTGGAGACATATCCAAGTTTTATCAATTTTTAAGGAACATAATCTACAAAGATATGGATGTTTCCTGAAATATGGATACTCCAAACCATGGGCTTTTCCCATTCATTATTAACAATCAAATGGATGAGAACTGGGGATACCCCCCATTTTAGGAAACCTGCATATAACTGGGTAAATTATAACGACCTCACTGCGACCTCACTGGAATCATGGTTAGTAAGGGGAATCAGGGAAGGGGGTTTTTAGCGACAGTAACAGGGGCTTTTCCAAACAGTTGCAACTTTACGAGAAAGTCTGGGTTTTTTTTGCGACCGTCTCCACGGAGAAGGGTTTTTTCCCCACCTGCCAGGTGAGGGTTGTTAGATTTTATGTCAGTTGCCTCCTCCTTCTCCTTCTCCTCCTCCTCCTTCTCCTCCTCCTCCTCGTCCTCCGCCTCCTCCTGCCTCGTCCTCCTCTCCTCCTCCTCCTCTCGTTGTCCTCCTCGTCCTCCTGCTCAACTGCGACTCGCGATCCACAGTGTTCGCTGTCGGACCTCAACCACGACCATCCACGCCCAGTGTTCCCTGCCGGACCTCAACCACGACCATCCACGCCCAATGTTCCCTGCCGGACCTCAACCACGACCATCCGCGCCCAGTGTTCCCTGCCGGACCTCAACCACGACCATACACGCCCAGTGTTCCCTGCCGGACCTCAACCACGACCATCCGCGCCCAGTGTTCCCTGCCTGACCTCAACCGCGAGTATCCATGCCAAGTGTTCCCTGCCGGACCTCATGTAGGAATGTCAGATAGACTGCCAGATAGAATGCCAGATAGAATGTCAGATAGGATGCCAGATAGAGTGCCAGATAGAATGCCAGAAAGAATGCCAGAAAGAATGCCAGATAGAATGCCAGATAGAATGTCAGATAGGATGCCAGATAGAATGCCAGATAGAATGCCAGAAAGAATGCCAGAAAGAATGCCAGAGAGACTGCCAGATAGAATGTCAGATAGAATGTCAGATATAATGCCAGATAGAATGCCAACATATATGCCAGAATGTATGTCAGATAGAATGCCAAAATATATGTCAGATATAATGCCAGATAGAATGCCAGAATATATGCCGGCATATATGTCAGATAGAATGCCAGAATATATGTCAGATATAATGCCAGATAGAATGCCAACATATATGCCAGAATATATGTCAGATAGAATGCCAAAATATATGTCAGATATAATGCCGGATAGAATGCCAGAATATATGCCAGAATATATGTCAGATAGAATGCCAGAATATAATGTCAGAATAAATGACAGGTAGAATGCCAGAATATATGTCAGATGAAATGTCAGAAAATATGTCAGATAGAATGCCAGATAGACTGCCAGATAGAATGCCAGGTGGAATGTCAGGATATATGCCAGATAGAATGCCAGAATATATGCTAGAATATATGTCAGATAGGATGTCAGAATATACTAAATATATGTCCAAATATACGTCCTGACATGTCATGGTGGGGATCACACGAAGTAGAGTAATTGCAACGGTTCAGCGAGGGTTTTTTGCGACGGTTCAGTGAGTAGCATCAGTGGCGCAGAGTAAGGGGAGGTGGAGGAGGTGGAGGAGGAGCAGGAGTCATCGAGGCGGTTGGCGCGAGCACGAGGAACGAGTGAGAGCGACCAGGGCCGACGATGACGACAACGACGACTCCTCCTCCTCCTCCTCCACCTCCTCCTCCTCCGCCTTCGCCTCCTCCTCCTCCCCCGACTCTGCGCCACTGATGCTTCTCACTGTCTGCCACCCACTATCCACCCTTACCCGGCTACTACCGATCATGTTGCACCCGTGCGACCACTACCACTCGTCGCTCTCACTCGTTCCTCGTGCCCGCGCCAACCGCCTCGACGACGACGACGACGATGACGACGACTCCGACGACGACGACTCCGACGACGACGCCGGCGACGCCGACGACGACACCGACGACGACGACTCCGACGCCGACGAGCTGCGCTTGTGTGCTTTGATGGTGCTTTTGTTGCCTCCTTGTGTGATGTTGTGGAAGAGGTGGTGTTGCGCAGCTGCGCGTGGCGGTGCCTATAAACAAGCGGGACGGGGGTGCAGGGGGGAGGGCATAGCGCCTCCCCCCGCAGGGCGTTCCTTCCACGGCGAATGTTGATGTCGGTTGACGGCGTTTGATGTATATATAGAGTGTTGTAGAATCTAGCCGCGACAGTTCAGGAGGGTGACGAAGAGGCGTAGGTGGTAGTGTGCACCGTAGTGGTAGTGGTAGCAATGGTGCAACATAGTCGGTAGTGGCTGTGGTATAGACAGTGGCCGTAGTGAGTGTAGTGGTAACGGTAGCAAAGGTGCGTAGTGGTAGTGGTCGCAAATGTGCAACATGATCGGTAGTAGCCGGGTAAGAGTAGATATTGAGTGGCAGACAAAAAAGGGGAGGGACGACGCCGCCGAGCTGCGCTTGTGTGCTTTGATGGTGCTTTTGTTGCCTCCTTGTGCGATGTTGTGGAAGAGGTTGTGTTGCGCAGCTGCGCGTGGCGGTGCCTATAAACAAGCGGGAGGGGGGTGCAGGGGGGAGGGCGCTGCGCCCTCCCCCCGCAGGGCGTTCCATGTTAATGTGGTCCGGATCAGGTTTGTTTCTACTCGCTGGGGAACGGGTTTAGGTAGGGAGCGCCCTCCCCCCGCAGGGCGTTCCATGTTAATGTGGTCCCGGAGCAGTGGTCGCGGAGCCGGATGAGGTGGTCTTGCGCAGCCTACAAGTAGAAGTAGTAGTAGAAGAAGAAGTAGAAGTAGAAGTAGTAGTAGTCTAGAAGTAGTAGTAGTAGTAGAAGTAGTAGAAGTAGTAGAAGTCGGAGTAGTAGTAGTAGTAGTACTAGTACTAGTAGTAGTAGTAGTAGTACTAGCAGTACTAGTAGTACTAGTAGTACTAGTAGTACTAGTAGTACTAGTAGTACTAGTAGTACTAGTAGTACTAGTAGTACTAGTAGTATTAGTAGTACTAGTAGTACTAGTAGTACTAGTAGTACTAGTAGTACTAGTAGTACTAGTAGTACTAGTAGTACTAGTAGTACTAGTAGGACTAGTAGGACTAGTAGTACTAGTAGTACTAGTAGTACTAGTAGTACTAGTAGTACTAGTAGTACTAGTAGTACTAGTAGTACTAGTAGTACTAGTAGTACCAGTAGTACTAGTAGTACTAGTAGTACTAGTAGTACTAGTAGTACTAGTAGTACTAGTAGTACTAGTAGTACTAGTAGTACTAGTAGTACTAGTAGTAGTAGTAGTACTAGTAGTAGTAGAAGTAGAAGTAGAAGTAGTAGTAGTAGTAGTACTAGTACTAGTAGTAGTAGTACTAGTAGTAGTAGTACTAGTAGTACTAGTAGTACTAGTAGTACTAGTAGTAGTAGTAGTGTAGTAGTAGTGTAGTGTTGTAGTAGTAGTAGTAGTAGTAATAGTAGTAGTAGTAGTAGTAGTGGTAGTAGTAGTAGTAGCAGTAGTAGTAGTAATAGTAATAGTAATAGTAGCAGGAGTAGTAGTAGTAGTACTAGTACTAGTAGTAGTAGTAGTGGTGCTAGAAGTACTAGTACTAGTATTAGTACTAGTAGTAGTAGTAGTAGTAGTAGTAGTACCAGCCGTCGTTGTCGCAATGCCTGTCTTTCCGCTGCCCGTCGCAGAAAACCCCTCCACCGACGCAAAAAACTCCACTTCCCGTCGCAAAAAACTTTCACTATTCGTTCACCGTCGCAAAAAACTTCCCTAGCCGTCGCAAAAAATCCTTCTGAACCGTCTCAATAAACCCTCTGGCATTCCCCATCGCAAAAAACCCTTCTAGCATTGCACCGTAGCCAAAAACCCCGGTTACCGTCGCAAAAAACCCGAAGCCCAGTTCATCCCCAAATGGCCTTAATTCAGGTTAGTGAAATATTATAATTTACCCAGATATAAGAATAGGGGTGGATTCCAAATCCATCCTTGTAATTTTGGCATTCCATGGCAGGTTGACGGCGAAGTCAAAATGACGAGTCGTCGACCGGAGACTTCCACAAAAATTCGATGGAAATCCACGCAATTTGCCGTAGATTTTTTCCAGAGTCAGAACATCTTATAGAAGATTTCCACCAGATTATTATTAACCATCATTAACCATATAATAACCATATAATAACCATATATTAACCATATAATAACCATATATTAACCATCATTAACCATATAATAACCATATATTAACCATCACTAACCATATAATAACCATATATTAACCATCATTAACCATATAATAACCATATATTAACCATCATTAACCATATAATAACCATATATCAACCTTATTAACCATATAATAACCATATTATAGAAGATTTCCACTGGTTGTGGGAATATATAAGGTAAATCATGGAGAATAATGGGAAATCAACATAGACCCTGAAAATCACAAATTCTTAGCGGAAACTAATCTTCCAACCCCTGGCAGTGTCTATTTTAATTTACTGGAGGGTAAGTATGTACTAGCTCTTATGGTAATCACCTTTACTTCCTGTTTTGTTCTCTGACGAATTCTGACGAGATACTGAGATATGTTGTATCATGGAAATTTGTGTATAGTGAATTGTTGCAGCAAAATTGAATGGTTATGCTGTGTACAGCATGATACAGCATGGCCAACTGTACGGCTTCATCAGCAACATCTTCGTGGTAACCTGAGAAGTACAATCCGTGGTAGCAGGAAACACAAAACGTGTCTGGTTGGTGATGTTCCATAGTTATCTTAGTTTACCAGAGGGTATAGTAATTATATATTTTTTTGGGGGGAAATCAACTATGTCCTGATTGGTGGTTTGGAACATTTTTCTATGTTTCCATATATTGGGAATGTCATCATCCCAACTGACTTTCATATTTTTCAGAGGGGTTGAAGCCACCAGGTATAAAACCTTGTAGTCAGAAGTACCACCGGGACTCACTTTGTGCAAGCTTTGTAGTGCGAAGTAGTACCGCAAAATAGTGTGTGCATGTTTTGGAGTATGAAAAAAATACTGAAAAGAACATGGTGCAAGCTGATCAAGCTGTGTAATGCGAAGTAGTAAGTAGTATTATTGCATGCGTGATTTGAAGATACTTGAAGTGGTATTGGGAATTTGTTTGTGCAAGCGGAGTAGGAATGATTACTGGGTAAAGATTCAAACTTTGTAGCACCACGTGGCTACTGGGCAAAACTGTCTGCAGGCACGGCAGCACAAAGTAGAACAGGGACGTGCTTTGTGTTGATGGTGTAGTAGAGTTAATGAGTTTGGACACATCTATCTAGATCATCTTTATGTTGGTTTGATATTTGGCCCAACCTGTTCTCTAAAGACTATATCGATTAATTATTTTAACAGTACCTACCCGCTATGTACAATAATGTATCCGCACCTTATTTTAATATATGTTGTTTATTGTTCGATTCTTATGTCTTTATCAAATAAATATATTAAGTGTTATCATATCACAACATGTATAGATATGTATAGTATATTTGCCCACATTTGGATATTCCATGAATATTTCTTAGTGCAGATGTTGTTTTTTTACATGTAAATACATGTTGCAGATGAGCTATAAACAACATGTACCCTCTGGTAATTTAACGTAGCTATTGAAAATGGCCATTTATATTGGATTTTCCCATTCAAAATGGTGATTTTCCATAGCTATGTTAAATTACCAGAGGGTAAACAACCTATTGATGCTGGATGTCTTTTTTATCCCATAACCGTTGAGTCGTGGATTTCCTCCCGGAGCCAAAGTTTCGCTCCGAGACAGCATCAGGGCCAGCGGGGCGGGCCGTGAGATGGGGATTTGTTTAACCAAAACGTTTTTTTTGAGCAATGAAAAATGGGTCTTAAGCAAGAACAATTGGAACTTAAACAAGAAGCCATGGGACTTAAACAAGGAAAATGAGACTTAAACAAGCACGTGGTGACTTACACACAGAACAAGATGGGATTTAGACAAGGAACATGGTGACTAAAAGCAAGAAAACATGGTGCTTAACCTAGATGTCACACCTTCTAATAATAGAAGTTGGCAATTAAAACCCACCGTTCTACGGGAAGGCAGGGTGGCATCTTCTATGACTGGGGAAGTTTACACTGCCATGTTTGATTACCATGAGTTCTCAATGTTCAAGACACAATTCCTTCATGGCAGCTTCAAATAAATCAAATAGACGGGAACCTGGAAATTAAGAGGTAAACAGGTAAACATAACTGGTTGGTGGTTTGGAACATTTGGATTAGTTTTCCATATATTGGGAATAATATGGAATAATCATCCCAACATATTAGTATTATATGGAAACATAATATATGGAAACATATAATACATAATATTGGAAACTAACATATTGTAAGCATGATGTATCATGGACACACGATCTATATCGATCTATCAGATCGGTGATCTCCAAAAACTCACGGCACACAAAGCGCTCCCTAGGAGCGCACCCCCAGCTGTGGTACTGATCTTGTATAGAAGTGGGCAACTGGCCATGACGCCACTAGGGTCGTGGTTCATTTTCTGCTGGAAGAACTCAGTTCTCATTGCCCGGGTTTTGGAATGGATACCCTCTGGTTATTTGTTACATAGCCATGGAAAATCACCATTTTTAATAGGTAAACCATCTCTTTCTATGGGCCATCTATACCATGGCGAACTGCAAAATAACCAGAGGGTAATTCATTGACATTATTCTATATTCTTCCGTACATATATACATATATACATATATATATATATATTCGTCCCTATATATATATATATATCAAATATATCAACTTGAATGAATTGATGATTGATGATTTCTCGCTATGAAGCTATCCGGTTTTGTGTTTTGTTCGATGTTTTCTTGACCAACCATTGGGATTTCTGGATGTTGATTCTCGACGATTTTTGTCAAGGAAAGTGTATTGTTTAATCGGTGATTTGGCTTTTCCCAATGGGGAAATCCACCAAAAATGGGGAATCGATTAAGTGAATATGATGTGAATATGTGTTATTTCTGACCCCGAATCCAAGCAAATCCAAGACAAGGAAAGTGTATTCTGGTAACATCCCTTTCAAGGAGAGTGTACCAGCCTCAAAGGCTATGGTTTGCAGTTGTTTTTTTGCTGCGGCATTTTCTGTGCAGTGCTGCCTAAGTTGAAATATCTTCATTATCTTCCCAAACCGTATCCAACCATCTAATTTCAGATTCCGGGTCAATGTTGGAGAACCCGGTCAATGCTGTCAAACTCAAATATTTATTTGCGCATAAATGGAGAAACGGAGTCAACTAGAGTATATAACAATATATCACAGATATAAAAAGCTGATACAACCATAAACCCTCAACCCCAGTCGTCATCGTGTGGACATCACAGTCGTCGGCTCCGATAATTATGGCCAGTTGTCCGGTCATTGCCATTGAGTTGGTCGATTGATCGTTGCATTTGGCGCGCAATCGGAGCTTCTCCATGTCTCCAATGCAATGAGTACCAAACAAGTCATGCGAGGTCACCAGGATGGGAAGTCTGAACGAATCCCATGGTTACCCTCTGGTAAACATACAAAAAACTATGGAAAATCACCATGTTTAATGGGAAAATTTTCAATAGCTATTTTGACATAACCAGAGGGTATGCCAAGTGGGCATGCCTGAGAAACGTAGGGACAAAATCCTTTTAGCAAAAAGTGTCACTAAATTAAACCCACTACTTCCAAGAACAAAGTTAAACGTTGTCGTCCAAGTAAAGCCATGACTTTACTTAAAGACACTCATTGACTACTGATATATATCTACCATTTGGCCATACTAAAGGTCAAAAAAGGGTGACCTTTCCCCTGAGCCTAATCGAATCCGTAAATCAATCCTCAAAATTCTGAATAAAAATATGTGGTTTCCATGCTCAAGTTTTTGATTGGTTTTCACGGGTTTTTCACTGTCTTTTCACGGGTTTTTCACGGTCGTTTCACGCACTTTTCACGCTCTGGGTTTGGAGTGGGATTTGTTTGAAACTCTGGAGTCCGGTATATATTTATACTAGTACTCATCGGGTCTGATAATGCCCAGTAAACACATGTCGCTTCCAAAGACCAAGTTAAACTTTGTCGTTGTGAAAGCCCCAGTTAAACTTTGTCGAAGACTGAGTGGGAAAGCTGAAAGAATTCTTGGTTTACATTCAAAGAATCTCAAAATATCTCAAAATATCTCAAAATATCTCAAAATATCTCAAACATTCATGTATAGACTTACCGTATCCAGTAAACACAATTTAAACAGTTATGGAAATCCATCGATTTTCCCCAAGGGAACATCTTGGAACTGAGGCTGGACCATCAATCGCAACCGCATCCTGCCGACTGAGGCCTGTTTTTTTCAAAATATATGGCTGTGTTTACATTCAGAACGGTTAAACTATGATGATACAATGTTAATCATGTGCATGTTCATATATATATAATATAATATATAAGTTATAAGATATATTAAAATATAGATATAATGGGAAAATGAGATAACATGATGATGCATGATGATAAATGATGATTACACTTGGATGCTCCAAAACTATAGGCTTTGTCATTGGGAACGTGATGCAACGCTCCAAATGGGTGTTGAACCAAAACTTGGGATAGAATTCAATAAACCAATGTGGATAGACCCTTTTTCAGAACATGGGATATTCGTTGTAACATGTTGTAACGGTTATCCCGGAACCGCACGGCTATTCCAAGGTGAAGCATTTTTTCATGCGTCTGATTTTCATGAGATGGTCCGGTCCCTTGTTGTCCCGCTGGTTGTGAAATCAAAGAGAGGGTTCACCCCCTTTCAACGTAACCAACAGCTACCCTCTGGTTATGTCATAATAGCTATTGAAAATGACCCAGTCGACATAGTGGATTTTCCCATTCAACATGGTGATTTTCCATAGTTATTTAAACGTTTACCAGAGGGTATATATGATTGTACAGTATAAATACCAATAGCTAGCGAGTTGGTGAATAATTCGGCGATTCGGTGAACCTGACTCCACTAACTATAGATGGTTTAGGGCAATGAAACAGAAACAACTATGGTTCATGGCAATTATCTGCCATAAATGGTTGGATAATATATGGGATGTCATCAAATATAATCATATCTTATAATATTCAGCCCAACCGAAACTTTCTTAACTATGGTTTATGGCAGATATATTGACACAGAAAATGGGCTGAAAAACTCAACCAACAAACATCACGACTTAAACCGCCCCGGTTGTGGTCGCACAGGTGGCCGTGTTCCGCGTCAACGGCCATGGCCGGAGCGCTGGTGGGGACGCCAGATCTCCTGGACCCAAACTACGGCCATTTTTCATGGGGAACATATGGCAGTGTGTCAAAACCTTGTACCCCTGTAGTTCACATCAAAATAGCTGGTAAATGGATGTTCATCCCCCTAAAAATGGTATTAATAGGTATTGATCCATAGCCATATATGAAAATATCTGAAAATAAGGGAGGATGATGATCTTAACCAAATTTGGGAGCATACTTTCTGACAGTCATGATGTTTCTTACTGATACACAATCCTTTGGAATGAAGCTATTTATCCTAATTTTCAGGTCAATCTTAAGGATGATTTTTCAGGTCAATCTCAGAACAGCATTTGAATTACCCTCTGGTTATGACTAACGGTTAGCCATGGAAAGATCCACCATGCTATTAAGTTCGGTAAACCATCTATTTCGATTAGGGCCATGGCTTAACCATGGCTATGTAACAAACAACCAGATGGTATATCCCATTAATATCCCATTAAATCACTATAAAATCCCATTGAATCACTATAAAACTCCATTAAATCACAAAAACAAATCCCATTAAATCACCAGGCCGGGTATCTTTAATAACCAGCTTGATGCATCATGTCAGTGAGCCATAACTGGTATATAACTGACCATAACTGGCAGTAGATGAGACCCAGCATGTTTCATGGCATTTTTCCATAGGTTTTCCTATTTTTATTATAGGGCTTACTTAAACCAGTACGTTTTCCCGTGAAAACCAATCCATTGACCATCTAATCCATAGATTTTCCACATTTTCCATAGATTTTCCATAGATTTTCCCTTACCCTCTAGTTTGCTATTGAAAATGGCCATAGACATAGTGGATTTACCCATTAAACATGGTGATTTTCCATAGTTATGTTAGTTTACCAGAGGGTAAACCAATCCGTTTACCCTGGAGTTTTTGCTCCCCCTGTCGCTTCCAGGTTGCTGGACTTCGGCGAGGTTCACCGCGACTTCCGCGACCATCTCGAGCCAAGGTCGGCGACTTCCGACGGTCCGGCGTTGACTGAACCATTTTTTTGTTTGGTTTAAGTGTAATGCTTGGCAGTCAACACTTAACTTTTTTTTAGATACCTATATATAATTATATATATATATATATAGTCAAGTATATCAATGGTTATCAATGTATCTCACAACATCGTGTAGTTGCATAACAGTACACATCGTTCTTTTCTTTAGGCTGGAGTCTTAAGATTGGCATCGCATCGATTGCTTTGCCCCTGCTTGATGAACCCTTTGATTTTGTCCTTGTTGATTAACTGGTTGCCATGGTTTATAGTAATCTACACTAATCTACAAATTGATTGGCTAAAGTTGTGCAAGTTGCTTTTACATATGGGTTTATCTGGCTTGACCTCAAGTTCTAGGCGGTAACATCCCCATTGTTCTTGGTAAACATCATCATATTTTTGTTTGGCAAGATCGCACCTTCTGTTTTGCAAACATTCACGATTTGTTGGTTAAACCTTATCGTAACCGCCAAAAAGGTTTTAACAATAGTGTTGTTTTTTATCACTAATTTAAGTATGATTCTACTTTTCTATTTTGTTTTATCATGTTGTCTTGTTCTATTATGTTTCCACTATTTTTCTATTTTTCTATCCACATCAAATTGCTATGAAATGTCCCAGGTGTCTTTGTTGCCAGGTCACAGTTGCTGCGGTGCCACAGGCGCTGGTTCACCGACCCCCAAGATTTTTTACATCCCCAACCAACTGGATAGGTAGAAACTAATCCTTTATAGTTTTTCTTGCTAGAAACGAATAAATGACCAAGATTTTTGGAATAATGTTTTTTTTTTGGAATATGATTGATGAGATAATGATGGGATAATGAATATATAATGGAATATGGGGGATATACATCCCCTTGGGTATAGAATCCAAATCAACTGGAGTCGCTGAACTATTCAGGTTAGTGACATATGAAATCCCAGGTAAAATCCAAGGTTTTTCACGTTCCATGTTGACTTTGTTTGCTGGACATGAAATAAATGGAAACTAATCATGACCAGCAAAAGGGCAATATTTTTGTCATGGACTTTCCCCAAGATTGACCATGTGACCATTGGTGCAAAGAACCAGGATAACTTGGGATAACAAACCCATGAGAGATCCTCACTAGGATCGCTACAGGATAACTTACAGGTTATGGCAGTTAGTTATCCTAAGCTAACCTAGTTAACTACAACATCTTAAGTATTTCTCAGTTATCCATAGTTATCCATATAGTTAACTAAGCTATCCTAAGTTTCTCCCAGTTGGCAGTGGGAACTATCGGCCACTCAGCCACTCGTCGCCAGGTCACTCTTTTTACCAAGCCTGGCTGCACCTTGTGTGACAAGGCGCACTGGACCCCCAAAGTCACGACATGTCACGACATTTCACGATCCCTGGATTTTTTTTTAACACAGGCTCCATGTTTTTTTCACTGAACAACAATTGTTCAAGTTTATGAGGGAACTTGTCGATTCTATTCTTCTATGCTGGTTTCATACCTTGCCTTGGCGTGTGGAATGTTCTAACTTGGTCAAAACTGCCTATGATATTTGTGATGCCCTCAATGTATACTTTGAAATAAAAGCTCTGTCCGAAATGATTGACCAAATTTGATCACTGAAACACATCGCTTGCCTATATCTTCGCAGTTTTCTTTTCGATGATCGTTGCTTAAAATCTCATTTTGGAGGCGTATCCCATGTTATCCCCCTATAAATTATCTTTAAACCCTATAAATCCATTGTTTTTGGATACCTACGACAGGCCGTGGCACAATTGAAAGAGACCACACAGCCTTTTGAGTGTGATCCCTGGAAATGGCGCCTGGAGGGTGTGAAGCACCAGTTGGTAGTACGTGGAGATTAAGCACAATTACTCACCATCTGGTTATGACTAACATAGCCATGGACAATGACCCATTTATAGATGGTTTACCTATTACAAATGGTGATTTTCCATGGCTATGTTAAATAACCAGATGGTAATTGGATGGTTTATGATGGGAAATCCGACAATCAAATGGATGAGAACTGGGGTACCCCCATGGATTGGAAACCTCCATACTGGAATCTATGAAACACTATAAAGGATGGCATTTTTACACCGGGATAGACAATCTACCAATCGGTGCGAGATTTCTTCCATCACAAATGATCAAACATGGGGATTCAATGGGATTTATAGCTTCTTTATGATAGCTAGGTTGATTCATAGCATATGTGTATGGCAAATATACCTATAATTAATGGGTTTTTTAGATCAACTTTTAACTACGGCCCCAGAGGGGGTTGCCTGAAAATGCTCGGAAAAATGATGATCAACCATATGCTATTTTGGGGTAGCAAATCTTGAAACAACCCCTTTGGCCAGTTCCAATCCCAGCTGAAATTGACCGTGCAGCATGAGATTCCAGGGCGCACCTTGTCGTAAAAAGTCCGTATTTTCCTTGCAACGTTCACTTCTGAGTTGCGAATCAGCAGATTGCAATGACAGAATCGAGCCGACGTTGCAAGTTTTAAAAGCAAACTTATTTGACATTGACTGCGCTCTTTAACCCTTCTATCCCTATATGTAATTCACATAAGGTGTCATCTGATCAGTCTGATCAAAACGTACTTCCCCATTTTGGTGTCTGAAGTGTTGCTCATACATCAATTTCCAATAACCTTGACGAGTTTGACTGTTGTGCCATTTCGGATACCAGCGGAAATCTTGGTTTTCATCAACTGTAGAGGAGCACGAAGCTGACAATGATTTTCCAGTGAATTAGCAGAGCTAGGCATTTTGACAGACGTTTTGACACTGACGGACTCGGACCATGGAAACCATCACATCATTTGCCCAGCGACGCCTTTGCAGCCTTGCCATGGAAAGCAGGCCAGTTTGCGGTCAGATGAGTCAGAAGGTTGACAAGTTCATCCAACTTGAGGTCTTCTTGCCCAGTGGGCGGTGTAAAGCTGTCGCGGTCTCCCAATGGGGTACCATTGCTGACTTGAAAATAGCTGCACAACAGTCTTTTGGGCAAGGTTTCCTTAGGCTTGCTGCCCCTGATGGGCGTCTTTTAGATCCAACAGACTCTGTTCGACTTTATGGGCTTCAAGATGGAGACAGACTTGCCGCTGTTGCCCAACAGCCACAGATAGTAGCAAATGCGACTGCGTTTGCTTTGTGGTGTGTTGGAGATGACAGAATTGTTACATGGGGCCTTGGCGGTGACAGCTCCAGAGTCCAAGATCAGCTGAGGAATGTTAAGCAAATTTCTGGCACAGACTCTGCTTTTGCTGCAATCTTGGCGGATGGGACTGTGGTGACCTGGGGCCTTCCAAACACTGGCGGTGACAGCTCCAGAGTCCAAGATCAGCTGAGGAATGTTCAGCAGATTTGTGCCACAGCCTTTGCTTTTGCTGCAATCTTGGCAGATGGGACTGTGGTGACCTGGGGCCTTCCAAACGAAGGCGGTGACAGCTCCAGGGTCCAAGATCAGCTGAGGAATGTTCGGCAGATTTGTGCCACAGCCTTGCTTTTGCTGCGATCTTGGCAGATGGAACTGTGGTGACCTGGGGCGATCCAAACGAAGGCGGTGACAGCTCCAGGGTCCAAGATCAGCTGAGGAATGTTCAGCAGATTTCTAGCACAAACTCTGCTTTTGCTGCAATCTTGGCGGATGGAACCGTGGTGACCTGGGGCAATCCAAACGAAGGCGGTGACAGCTCCAGGGTCCAAGATCAGCTGAGGAATGTTCAGCAGATTTCTAGCACAAACTCTGCTTTTGCTGCAATCTTGGCGGATGGAACCGTGGTGACCTGGGGCAATCCAAACGAAGGCGGTGACAGCTCCAGGGTCCAAGATCAGCTGAGGAATGTTCAGCAGATTTCTAGCACAAACTCTGCTTTTGCTGCAATCTTGGCGGATGGAACCGTGGTGACCTGGGGCAATCCAAACACTGGCGGTGACAGCTCCAGAGTCCAAGATCAGCTGAGAAATGTTAAGCAAATTTCTGGCACAGACTCTGCTTTTGCTGCAATCTTGGCGGATGGAACCGTGGTGACCTGGGGCAATCCAAACACTGGCGGTGACAGCTCCAGAGTCCAAGATCAGCTGAGGAATGTTAAGCAAATTTCTGGCACAGACTCTGCTTTTGCTGCAATCTTGGCGGATGGGACTGTGGTGACCTGGGGCAATCCAAACACTGGCGGTGACAGCTCCAGAGTCCAAGATCAGCTGAGGAATGTTTAGCAAATTTCTGGCACAGACTCTGCTTTTGCTGCAATCTTGGCGGATGGAACCGTGGTGACCTGGGCAATCCAAACACTGGCGGTGACAGCTCCAGAGTCCAAGATCAGCTGAGGAATGTTAAGCAAATTTCTGGCACAGACTCTGCTTTTGCTGAAAGCTTGGCGGATGGAACCGTGGTGACCTGGGGTGATCAATTCCGTGGTGACAGCTGCAGAGTCCAAGATCAGTTTAACTACATTTAGGCATGCAACAAAAGGAACCAGCTGCAAGCCGATTTGCATCTCCAGATCAACCATTCCAGAACCACCACGACCTGCAGTTGTTCCCCAAGGTGGCTATGTGTTGCAGTACACATGTAGTGGGTATCATGGCCTGCTTTCCCAATAAACATGACCAACATCCATCGAGTTCCCCCCACAAAAAATGATGGTTTTCTGTATGGTCAAGTGAAATATGGAGGTTTCCTTAGGTCATTGGGGTCCCCTAAATCATCCATTTTGGGATTTTCCATGAAATAAACCATCTGTTTTGGGGCTCTAATACCATGGAACCCCGAATATCCAGATTTTCGGTTGTGCTATCTTTGCCATTTCATCAGTACCGTTTCACAGTGCTCGGTATGATTGCTTTTACTAGGCTCCATGTCCTAAAAGGAGACCCTGAGAATCCCCGAGACCCAGATCTTGGGTTCAACTAGATGATGATTAGCAAGGGACATGATCTCCAAATGGCCGTATGACAACAGCTATTTTCAGGTCAAGTTTCCGGTCCAAGCCTTCCCGCGGCGAACTTGAATAGCACCGCTTAGCTATCAAATTGTGGCCATGACACAGATATGGAGGGATATTCTTGAGGATTTTGATTTCTGGTTGAGTGATGGTTGTGCCTATAAGGATAGGTCCATCCTTGTTGTGGACAGTCTGCAATTTCTGGAAGGATCGATTTTTTCAGGGACTTCAGTGATTCCGCATGGCATCAGCACTGCTTGCGTGGTGAACGATTTCCTTCGTTTCAGGGTTGACCAGGCTTCTGACGATTGCAAGCTGATTTGGGATGTTTCCAGATGCCAACCCATTCCTGACACGAAATATGTTCTGAAAGGTGTGAATGTTTTTCCGGCCAATCCAGAAATTGACTTTGAAGTGGATGCACAGACAGTCTTGCTTCCTTTGCTGCAGGACTCGTGTTTGCCAGTTAGGGTCATTGAACTTTTCTCAGGTGCATGTGGAGGTTGGAAAACGGCATTGAATTTTGTGACTCAGCAAACTGGGGTTGAATTTTCCACTCTGGCTGTAGATCATGATCTCAATGCCGCATTTGCCTATGCCGTCAGTTTTGCCGTACCTCTTGTCAGTGGTAACTCTCATGTGAATCCAGCATTGGCCAGCATGCATGCTAATCTTGTCGTGCAAGCTGATGTTGCTGGTGACAGTTGGCTTGAGTTGGCAAGTGCTTGGAAACCTGACCTTGTGACCATATCAGCGCCTTGTCAACCATGGAGCTCAGCAGGCTCAGCATCCGGCTTGTATTCCGACATGGGGCAAGTGTTGTTCAAGGCCCTCACTGCTTGCAAGTTGCTCAGGCCTCGTGTGATTGCACTGGAACAAGTCAGTGCATTCATGTCGCATGAGCATTACAGGCTTTTGGTGCAAACGCTGAGATGGGCAGGGTATAATCTGCATCATTCTCATGTTTTGGAAGCATCAGAGATCCTTCCCATTGCCAGAGCCAGATGGCTTGCCATTGCCCTCAGGGTTGATGACCCTGCTGTAATCCCATGTCCGTTCCAAGGTTGGACTTCAGGTGGACAAGCGGTTCCCAACACTTGGAATGCCATCCTGCCTCATGACATGCTTGATGATGCACGCATCCGTCCAGACAGCTATGTTCTGGCCATTTCTGCCAGGCATGATTTGTTACCTCCTGCGAAGAGAAGAATGATCACTAAAGACAGTGTGCTTGCCTCGAGGTGTTTCACAGGTGCTGAAAAGCTCCCGACCCTGGTTGCCTCTTATGGTTCTCAACACAAATTCTCCATGGCTTGGCTCAGTGAAAAAGGTTTGATGAACCACTTTGCCATGGGACATGATGGAAAACCAAGATATTGGCATCCTTTTGAGCTGTGGTTGCTGCATGGTGGGTTTGGTTCTCATTTTGTTTTGAGGGATTGGGAAATTGCATATAGGCACCTAGGGAATCAGATTTGCCCATTGCACGCTCTTGTCACGTTGGCAAATGCCCTGAATTGCCTGCAGAAATTTCCAGAGACACTGGACGCTGCCAGCCTTGTGACCAAATTTGTTGAGCAGAGAGCCACTGTTGACACCATGCGTGTTGAAGATCTGCAAGTTGGTCACCTGATTTCCGGTCTACAGTTGGATTTGACTGGTGATCAAAAGCGTAGCATCATGGACTTCCATCTTGGACTTGTGAATGGACAATTGCCTGAAGGTTTGATTTGGACTTTTGATGGATTTTCACAGCCTCAGGCTCCATCGCATGATGTTGTGGATACTTTTCCTGCCACTGTGCCATTTGAGACTTTTGAATCCATGCAAATTTGCTG